ATCTACACCAATATTAAATAACCATTTTGCAAGATGTTAGAATATCCAAACGACAAACATTGATATAGCTGAATACACTAATGAACAACAAAAACTACTTCTTTTAGACATCCGGATAACACTGTGATGAATAGATGATAAGATATTTAAGATTAATAATAAAACTTTATTTTTTTTTCTACTTCTCAGTACTTTACTTCTTCAAAATCTTTTCCCTGTAATGTTGAATATTAAGAAAAAAAAAAAAAGTGATCTATTAGGCATTATGGCACGAAAAGGAAAAATTTGGTGGCAATATACGTCGACGAAGAGGCGTTGTCGCTGAGAACTCAGAATTTAATTTTGATCAATGTACCGTTAACATCGGAAATGGTATTGCAATTCCGGTATTGTTTTCAACTTTATACCTTTAAACTTTCCTCTTTTCACCTCAAAGCAGAAAAAAATTTTTTCAAATTACTTAATAATATATTTGCTTATAAGAAAAACCTGTTTTTTATTCTACAAAAATTGAATATTTTTCAACTGATAAGTGGTTTTAAGATGACCGGATAATGCTGATGGTGAACATTTGTAAAATAATAACAACATGAATAATAACAATAACAAATAGAGTAAACAGATTTTACATTTTTTTTTTTTTTTAGAAAAATATATTAGAAAAAAGTTGTGATCGTCTTCATGATCACTGTTCAAGAAGAGGACGTAAACTGGTAGGATTTATTGGACCAAGAGGACCGCCTGGACCACAAGGACCGGCAGGTCCACCGGGTAGGCAGAAAAAGAACTTTTGCAGATGAATAGGATATTCAACCTAATTCAGTTTTTTTCTTGCATTTTAAAAATTATCAATAGCATTACTGCTGTAATTTTTACAATCATAAAATCACTACACCAAAATAGTAATTAAAAAAAGATTTATCTGCTGTTATTTGTTATAGTTTGCAGTATTAAATTATGGCAAAATTAGTTCTAAGAATTATTCAATCTTTTTTTTTTTTTTTTTAAATTAAACAAAGAAGCTCAATTTCGTTTCATTTGCAACAATAAACATCAGGAAGTTTAGGAATGACTTCATTTCCTTCTGCTGCTGTAGTAAGCATGAGTTCTTTTTGCAACATTGCAGTTGCTAATCGAAATCTTAAAAAAAAAAAACAAGAGCAAAAATTAATGTTTTAGGAAAACGAGGTCCTACTGGACCAGAAGGACCAATGGGTTTAATTGGTGACGTCGGTAGAGAAGGACCTCCAGGAAGAGATGGTATCTTTTACAAACGTTCCTACTCATTGACTCACCAAAATTTTGTTCATTTTATACCCTGATTTTTCTTTGTTAAAACTATATAATAACTATTGTTTCAGGAGTCTGTAACTGTACATTTCCTGATATATATATGCAACCTGTTGCTGTACCCGGACCACCAATTATTCAAATTCAAGAAAAAATTGTTCCTGTACCAGTTATTATTATCAAAGAAGTTGACGTTAGTTCATATTTACTTGAAAAATTTCATCATTTCTATGAGCAAAAAATAAATATTTTGTCATCAAAATTGACAGCCAACAAGTATTTGTCTAGAGAAACTAAAACAAATTAGTGCAAGCTCAAAAAATTGATTAATTTGAAAAAAAAAAAAAATTTTTTTTTTTTTTTTGCCAATTTAGTAGACATAAACAGATCTATCACGATTATTTTTAGACATTAGACATAATAAATAAAAATAATTATTAGTACTTGGCAAAAAGGTGAATAACGTAAGCATAAGTTGGTGAAACTATTAATAAATTTTTTAATAGTTGATAGTAACAGCAACAACAAAACAACAACATCAACAATTTATATAATTTATAGCTGAGCAAGAAAAAAAAAAAGCGTAAAGTAAACAAAAATAAGAATTTTAAAAAAATTTAAGAAGTTAACATACAATTAAACATACAGTTTTATACCTATCGTTAACTTTTCATTTTTGCCTAGCAGAACAGTGTAGTTTTGACAAATAATTCTACAACAGTTTACTGCTGTTTAATTATGCTTAGTTATTTGTAGATGAAAGGCATGGAAACAACAGATCAGTCAAGAATTGTTGAACCAGCAATAAATTCTTCATATACATCTGCAACACCGATATCATCAAATGAAACTTCTAGTAATGGTAAAGTTCTCTGTTTTTTTTTTTTTCATCAATTTTGACAGAAGTATTTTGATG